CCCCTCCCTTTTTACCTTAATTGCTTTGCAGGGTCAGATGGCCCAAGCAAGTATACTAATGTCAATGGAGCAAGGTGGGGCAGAACAGCAGTCCCGAGAAAGGTTCCCCTAGCTGTAGGGTCATCAGTGATCAGCAAACAATGTCTGTGGCTGTTGGGGATCCTTAACGGAGTCAGCTGTAATCCTAAAATTGGTCAGATTAGGAGAGCATATCATGTCTGTCTGTCTGTAACTTTCGCCAGTAAATGGTTTCCTCGGTTGTCAGCAGACTCATAAAAAAAAAATCGGATACTTCATTTATTATGCTTTTCCACCTTCTTTCAGATGTTTGCTCTTCGTAAGATTGAGTTGTCTAAATTTCACAGATACATAACCAACCTTATTCGGACAGTGTCTATTGTGATGATCCCTATTGCTGCCACTGTTCCTTCGGTAAGTGGGTTAGTCAGTGTGGTGTTTTTAATTGTTTATCCAACAGTAATGACAAAGGGCACTGTTCTTTCTGCCATGCCGTGAGCTGATGCAGCTTTTGTCAGCATAATCTTACTGTGCACTGGAGTTACCTAAAGTCACCAATTGGCATCAGACCTGCTCTGCAAGTTTGAATTTGATTGGTGGCTGTGGGGAAATAACTCCAGTTCTTGGGAAGGACACATTGATCCATCATACTTCGAGTAATAGCTTAAAGGAGAACTATGAGGTGAGTGATTTTCACTCAACCTCATAGTTCGAGCCGACGTGTGACAATGAAACTATCACATGTCGGCTCAAAAGATCGGGAAGTGAGCGATCACATACCGTCGCTCGCTTCTCAATCTATCCGTGCAGAGAGCCATGACTGTCACTCACGGCTCCCTGCAGGGATTCTCCCCGATCCTGCAGCTCTGACTGGCGGAACGGCCGCGAGAGGGGGCGGGCACAGCTGGCTCTGCCTCCAGATAGGCAGAGCCAGCTGTCACTCACTCGAGCTGTAGCTCGCTATATACTGAGCTTTGGATCACGGGAGGACACTTACCCCATAGTTCTCCTTTAACATAACACATAAATCAGAAGAACGGCACCAGTCCATACCCCCTGTAGATGGGAGACCTTAGCTAGACAATACACATGTAGTAGGCAGTCATTGAAGCCATAGTAATCAATACATATACCCCTTGGAATATGGCAGTTTGTAGAACAATAAATGCACAAAAGAATGTTATTGGTGTATTGGTCTTTTTTTTTTTTTTTTTAAAGACAGATTTCATTTTGAGAATAACTTTCATGTCTTCATTGGGGAAAAAGGGAAGAGGAGAAAAAATGAAATTTCTCATCTTTTTATTTCACACAACTACTATAACATGATTAGTTTAATACCAGAATCCTATCCCAAAATGTAATCTGTTAGTTCTCCTAAGTATGGGTATATCACAAATGTGCACTTTAGGTGACACTCTTGCAGCTTGAGCTGCCATTGAGTGCTAACTGTTCCTAAATGTAGACAAGTTAAAGAGACAGGATTTATCATTTTTCCTTTTGTTTTCTGCAGTGTATGGCCCTATATTGGGTGTCCTCCAGCACGGTAGGTCTAACTCATAATTTGCTGCTAAGATCGCCAACCGTACGACGCCTCCTCCGGGTTCCAAGGACCACGGCTGACTCTGACACTCCTTACAAAGACTTAACGTCAGCATTTATAACAAAGTACTTTAATAGAAAATAGTTCATGTGATGTACATTGCCTTTGTTTCTTGTCTGCCAAAATACACTTGTACAAAACCTTTGTTTTAATGAAATTTGTAATAAGATACTTGTGTGCAATGTGTGCATACAGTAAGTCTATTTTTTTGTAAGACATGATGTTAATGCAGTTCTTAAGGCATGGGATGTAGATTATTTTTATAATATTTAATATGCACAGTAATTATCATCACTGTTTTTCTTTTTGCTGTCACACTGTTGGATACTGCTCGCCTCCAAACTTTGCAGGACATTGCCATCTGCTTGCAAGTAATTAAAATGACTAGTATATAAAAATTGCTCCTAGTTGCTGAACTAGTGATTCTGGTAATATTATTCTACATTTTTAAGTTCATAAACTGGTATTTATATAATTTTATATGTGTATAAAATCTTTTTTTTGCAAGTCATTTAAGAGTGTTTCCATGCTTTGTGTGCTGTGCATGCTGAGCTTTCCAATAAGAAAGCCCAGCACTAGCTCTGTCCTTATTGTCATCTGCTCCTGTAGCTTGAAGATCTTTAGAGCACCATCACTACTAGGAGAGGAGGATGTGTTCTTTCCTTGAGTCTTTCGTGTGTGTGTGTGTGTGTGTGTGTGTGTGTGTGTGTAAATAAACCGTCTGTCTAAAATCCAGAGTAATGGACTAAAAAGAAATAAAAATATATATTTTCAAATGTTTTCTACTCCTGAAGAAAAGACCTATATAAAAATATGTATACAGACATTATTCATTCTCTTTCAAAAGGAGGCAGTTTGTAGGTTTCTCTTTTCACTGATATCATACACTCAAGGGAGGTTCCCTAATGTTAAACCTCAAAATTCCTCCTTCTGCTATCAAAGCATGTTAGTTTTCAGCTGCAAAAAATTGGCTTGGTGGTTTTTGTTGTGGGAATGTCGGCATAGGAATTTTTAACAAGGATAGCTGCATGTGTCATAGACCTGAAAATGTTTTGCTTCCTCAGGAGAAACTTTAAATTGTCTATAAGATTTGTACTCTTCACTCCGGAAGCCTGACTAGAATAAGAAAGCCCCAAGATATCTGACTCCCCCAGGCACACAAGTGCCTATAGTAACCTATATTACTCATTCCCCAAAAAAGTAAAATGTAAATGTGTGTGTGTAAATATAGACAGAGAGAGAGATATTATGTGTGTGTGTGTATATAATCAGTATGAAAAAGTCCTTCTTTAATAATTCCATACATTTTTTTTTTAATTATGTAAACCATCAATCACATGTAGGTCCATTATCAATCACGATGACCTGTCACCCTACAATGTTTCTCCCCCGCATTACCACCATTAAATTATGTACTCCCGGGATCTGACTGTCATTGACCTATAATAGTAATTTACATCGGAGGCCTTTTACATTTTTTGGGGGGGGGGTATTATTAATTAAGGACTTTCATGTTGTGTGTGATTATTTACATTTGACATTGTTTTTGGGAAGGAGTTTTAAGGGTTACTAATGTACCTTTTCCTGACCACCCAGGCTGCATGTCTGGATAAGGGTCTGGTTAGAATAGTAAGGGAAACCCCATGCTGTTTTTTTCTTTTTAAAATAGACAGGGCTCATTTAAAATAAAACAACAACAAAAAACATAGTTCCCTCTAGATTTCAAACAAGACCCTTATCCAGGCATGCAGTGTGAGTGTTCAGGAAAGGGAAGCCACTGAGCATATGCCTTCCCCCACCCTGAACCATACCAGGCCACATGCCTGTCAATATTGGGAGGGTATCTTGCATGGGTTGTGACAAAGCCTACCCCCTTTGCAAGGTATCTTGTTCCCATGGGAGGACAAGGACTTCATTTTCACAAGAGGATGTGGTGGTGGGGACTTATTAGAATCTGCAAGTCCTCTTTATAATAAGAGGGGCCCCCAGATATCCATTCCTGCCGGGGATTTTTTACGGGGTTAGTACCCATTAGTACCCTTTTATTACTCACTCAAAAAAAGTAAATAAACACACAAGCACCGTGACAAAGTTCTTTAATACAAAATACCTCCAAAAATGTAAACAATTTCCATAAATCCATCAATCGTGTCATCCAGTGATGTAAATCCAGTCTCAATCACAAGGGTCTGCTGCCTGATGATGTTTCCCTTCTGCCATGATATTCTGCCACCTGACAATTAATCCCTAGTGCTGCTGACATGTAAAACAAACAGCACCAGGAATCCTGGGGAAGTAATTGGCCAAATATGGTCATGCACATGTTTGTCCAATGACATTGCCCATAATCAACAGCCTGTTTCTTTACAAACAGCAGCCGGAGATTTGGGTGGCAAACTGGCCAAATAGGAACTGGACATCCATCATGTGAACAGGCTGAGTTTGGGTCACTACTTTAAACCCCCATTATTTTTTGTCTCCTGTGTTTTAATTAGATTTCCCTTTACTTCCTGTCCTGGAGACATCACAAGAAATTACATTATTACTTTGCACTGCAATCCACATCCTTTGAGCAGTGTTTTGGCCCTTTGTCAAACTCTGAACAGGCTAGGTTTCGGGTCAAACTCACTAGTTAAAACCTTAGGACATTCTCTACTTCCTGTTCTGGAGGCGTAACAAGAAATTACATTATTTTGTTGCAACACACATCCTCCATGAGTAATGAGCACATTTTATTCACATGCACTGGAATGTCTAGTAAGATTAAAAAAAACATTTTTTAATTGGTACTTAAATTTAGTACTTCAGCTTTCATGGATGTTCACAATGGACTATGTCACTATATTTGTAATCATGGCTGCTCTGTGTTGATGTTTGCCAAACCCTACTCTGTGTTATGCATGTTGAATGAATGGCTCTACACTGAGTGGCCAGATTATTATGACCACCTGACTTTTGTAGGCAAATTACCTATAATTAGCTATCATTTCGCGCTGAAGTTGCTAGAGTGCCAGACCATTATAAATAGGGAACCAGGTTGTTTACCACGACAGTAGAAGTGATTTTTTTCTGAAGATATGGGTAAACAACGCGATTTAACAGCCTTTAAACGTGGGATGATTGTTGGCGCTCTGAGCCATGGAGCGAGTATCAGCAAAACAGCAGAATTCGTTAAATGTTCAAGAGCAGCTGTTGGTAAGTGTTTAAAAGACTGGACTGTCAGCCGAAAATCTGGGTCTGAACGTGCGAATTGTGGCCTTCAGCGACTAGTCAATGTTAGGGCAGAACGGAGAGTGGCAAGACTGGTACAAGGCAACAGTGAATCAAATTACTGCAGATCTTAATCAGGGATCCTCTCAAATGATCTCTGAACGGAGTGTTCGCCGTACACTGCATTGTATGGGATATGGAAGCCGAAGGCCTGTTCGAACACCTTTGCTGTCTGCAGTTAAGATAAAACGTCTCCAATTCGCACAGGAACACAAGGATTGGACAGTCGAGCATTGGAAAAAAGTAATGTGGTCCGCTGAATCACGTTTCCAGTTGCATCATGCAGATGGCAGAGTGAGAATTTGGCGGGAACAGCATGAAAGCATGCACCCCACATGCATGAGTACAACCCTTCAAGCTGGTGGGGGCAGTGTTATGGTTTGGGGCATGTTTTCCTGGCATGATTTGGGCCCTTTAATTCGTGTGGAACAACGTCTGAATAGCACAACATACCAAAGTATCGTTGCTGATCAAGTTCATCCTATCATGTTGATGGCGTATCCCAATGGAGATGGCTTCTTCCAACAAGACAATGCGCCATGCCACGGTGCTCGTATTGTGCAGGAGTGGTTTCAAGAACATGAGGGAGACTTTACCTTGCTTAGGTGGCCCCCACAATCACCAGATCTCAATCCAATTGAGCATTTGTGGGACAAAGTTGAAAGAGCCATCAGGCAGCTGGTTCCACAACCATCAAATCTCACAGAACTGGACAGTGCTATTCATCATTCATGGTGTCAGATTCCTCGCATTACCTATCAACATCTCGTGGAGTCAATGCCCAGAAGAATCGCCGCAGTATTGAAGGCAAAAGGTGGCCCAACGAAGTACTGATGGGGTGGTCATAATAATCTGGCCACTCAGTGTATATTCATGCTGTACTTTTAAATCAGTGGTTCTCAACCTGTGTAACCTCAGGACCTACATTTGTCCTTAATCATTAGGTCGCGACCCATGTCTGCAATGTTTGCACTGCAATGGACCGCACGGCATTAGGGTAGCACGCGCTGCGGTGCAGGCGTACGAGCTGTGGGTGGGAGATGTGTTTGGGGTACCATTCAAAAGAATGGCAACGCAACACACTTCCCACACCAGAATGCACAGTAGGTGCGATTGCGTGGTACAGTGTATTAATGTGATTAACGCACTGTACTAGTGTGAATGGGCACTCAAAACACTGACCGACACACACACAGCCACAGATACATTCTCACACAGACACATAACCACTCCAAAAATGTTTTTATTTTTTTAAGGTCCACCTAGTTTCCCTACCTTACGAGAACTGGAGTGGGTTGCTGTTCTTTGATGGAGCTCCATCCATATGTGCATTGCTTGTACAGCTCCCTTGTGTGCCCTGTAGAAGATCCGGGAGCCAGAATGTGACATCACTCCGTTCCAGGCACCTCTATAGGACACGTGAGGGAGCTGTACGCAATGCACGTATGGATGGAGCTCCATCGCGGCCAAAACCCAATTACCACCTCAAGCTGACACTCGGCATCGGGCAACATATTTTGAATGGCTGCTCCGTGTGAGAACTGACAGTGCTGCACTAGTGGGAGGTAAAGAAGCCTCTAACCTAGAAAAGTGGAAGGCATGCAGCGACCCACTTTTGGGTCACGACCCACCAGTTGAGAACCAAGGTTTTAAATTAATGCTTCGAGGTTTACACTTGGCTAAAAAGGATGGAATGATCACTTCGTTAACTTCTGTACATAAAATAAAAGACAAAACGTTTAACTGCAAAATTTCTTTGTAAACAATTTGTTCATTAAGGCCGGATTCACATTGTTTTATTATTGCATTCGTGCTGAATAGCATCCCAACGCACACCCATTGCAG